ATAATGTACTATTGCTGGGTTTCGTAGTCCTCTATAGCCGGTGCCATTCTGCATTCATTGCTGTATAATTTTACACTTTTCATTTCACTATATTGCACAACACACTTTCTTTTTTTAATTCCACTGCTCCAAGCTTGCTCCTGTGATGGACTGCAATCTAACTAATCGATTTTGAAAATAATCGTTAGCTGCAGCTCTAAACTGTACGTTACTACTGAAAGGAGGGAACCCCCCAACACCACCACCATGTGAGAATCTAAATCTTTTTAATGTTCCTGTTTGGAAAAAAAAATATATATAACTGGTCAGTGGTATTTTGCATTGTGCCGCTGTATTATATAGCGCCACACTGCAGAACACCAGCAGCTATAGAGGAACAACAAATCCCAGCAATAATACATTAAACAGCCTGTATAATGTACTAATGCTGTGATTTGGTGTTCCTCTATAACTTGTCAGTGGTATTCTGTATTGTGCCGTATAATCATTACACAGCGCAAAGCAGAATACCACCAGCTATAGAGGACTACAAATCCCGGCAATAGTACATTATAGTATAATGTACTATTTCTGCAATTTGTTGTATTCCTCTCTAGCTGCTGGTATTCTGTATTGTGCCGTATAATCATTACACAGCGCAAAGCAGAATACCACCAGCTATAGAGGACTACAAATCCCGGCAATAGTACATTATAGTATAATGTACTATTTCTGCAATTTGTTGTATTCCTCTCTAGCTGCTGGTATTCTGTATTGTGCCGTATAATCATTACACAGCGCAAAGCAGAATACCACCAGCTATAGAGGACTACAAATCCCAGAAATACTAAATTATACATCGCAATTCAGAATAACGCCAGCTACAGAGGACTACAAATCCCGGCAATAGTACATTATAGTATAATGTACTATTTCTGCAATTTGTTGTATTCCTCTATAGCTGCTGGTATTCTGCACTGCGCCGCTGTATAATGTACTATATTGCACACCACACTTTTTTTTCAACTTCCACCGCTCCAAGCTTGCTCCTGTGATGGACTACAATCTCAATACAAACTAGTAGTCCATCACTGGATCTTTTTTTAAAAACCGATTAATCGAACTTAAAATTCAGCTAACTAATTTATTTTGAAAATAATCGTTAGCTGCAACCCTACTCGGGTGATGAACTGGATCCAGGCCGGGTGCAGGTCTACGCGATCCGACGAGAGTCCTGGGATCGTACGGTCCTGCACAATGCAGGTCGCAATTGTCGTGCGGCCCCATTGATTTCAATGGGGTGACATCCGCACAGCAATCGCAGAAAAAAGGGAAACAAAGCGCGGCTGTTTTAGAGCAATCCGCCCGGCGCAACTGGGGTGCAATTAGAAAATAATGGCACACCTACAGCGTGATCGGTGCACACCTAGGCGACTACTGACAGGGCGGAATCGTGCGGTGATGTGTCGTTTAGGTGTGCGCAGACCCTTAGGAACACACTAGACTTGGAGCATAGGAAGGCACTAGACTCTGGACTTTGCAACACAGTGGACTTTGGACTAAGAACAGATAATGCAAACCACCCCCCTCCCACCCCGCTACCTGATTGCCTGCTCTGTCTCTATGCAGCCTTCTGATCTTGGTAGGACACCCTGTCCCCTGCAGAGCCCGCACTGAGGCTTGTACAAATAATCCAGGGCCAGGCAGGCATATGCACGTCTGAAGGGATTCCGGGGATGTCCTGTTTGATGAAATATCGTTGTCAGTGAACAGCTCTCCTCCAGCCGTCACCAATGCTTTATCAAACAGGACATCCCCGCATCCCTTTAGACGGCCAAGCCGATCTGTGGATGTTCTTTAGACGGTAGCTCGGGAGCACATTCCCCCCTCTGCCCCCTCTCACTACACCACTGACAGGACCCTCTGGGGGGGATTTGGACCCCCCTATTCCCCCTTATCTACGCCCCTGCTTCCAACAGACAAGGCTTCTTTATTCTTTAAATTCTTATTTAGAGCATAGAGATAAAGCTTAAAGTGACATTAAACGCTCAGATTTTTTAACATAAAACAATACTGTAATGTGTGCCTTACTGTAATCCATGGTAGTTTCCCTTCTCTGTGCTGCTCTTTTTAAATCCTCATGTCTTCTCATGCTGGGCAGAACTTCTGTTTTGCAGCAGACTGCCTTGTCTCAGGAATGGATATACGGTGTCTGTGTATACGTTTGTATAGGTTTGTAACCTGAGCCAGCACTACAGGAAGAGGCCCTGAGCTGAAAGGGGAAGTTCTCCCCCAGCATGAGAAGACATGAGGATTTAAAAGAGCAGCAAAGAGAAGGGACACAACCATGGATTACAGTAGGGCACACATTACAGTATTGTTTTATGTTTAAAAATCTGAGGGTTTAATGTCACTTTAACAATTTTAAAGGATTGTTTTTAATAATAAAAAGGTGCAGCAAAATAGACAGAAAAGATGTTACAGAACAGAGACAAATAATACAACAACAAATCAAAAAGTGAATTGCTTTGGATTTCAGCAGAGTGCAGTCAATAAAACATAAAGGGGGTTATTCACTAAGCTGCCAAAGACAGCCGAATGAATAACAAAGCCAAAGTGAAGGCAGTCGAAGCCTCTTCAGCTATTCACTGCAGCCCTTTACAACTATTCACGGCGTACTAATGCAGATCATGGTGCTGATGTGAGGACACCAATCTCTGTATCAGAAGGGACCACCCAGCCCAGAAAAGAAGCAAAGAAAGAAGACCCCGCAGTGCCTTGTGACCAGCCTAAAAGCTTTGTATTTTCTGCTATTTTTTTTATTCTTACCTTGTTCACACAAGGGGACCTTAACGGGTTGGAGCATGGGAGCTAGTTTTAATTTTAAAAGAGAAGTAAAATCAAATTATTTTTGGCTTTAATTATTTTTGGGTCACAGGAAAAAAATTACTAATGTACACAGTGACCCAAACCCAGCTTATAGCTGGTTACTGCATGCTATCTGCTGACAGCGCAGAGCCATGAAGCAGTCGGAAAGGATCATGACAATATTGTTAGGATCCACACAGCTTCCTGATTGACAGCTGGCTCTGCCTCTCTAGAGCCACAACCAGCTGTGCCCACCCCCTCCACTGTCTGTCCCTCCAATGAGTACTGGAGAAACAGAGGGGGTGGTGGGAATCACTGCGGGGAGCAGTAACTGACAGGGAGAAGCCATGAGCGACCAGTGGGTACAAAGATCTCTCAGCTCTCTGTATAAAGAGCCGGTGTGTGACAGTTGCAGTGCAGAATTGGGAAGAGTATATTTCACTCTCCCAATACTTCTCCACTTGAAGACAGGGGTGTTAAATCCCGTTTCTGTCCAGGCCATTTTTCAGTATTCAGCGCTGCAATATTTTCACTGACAGTTATTCAGTTGTGCAAACCTTTACTGAAATGAATGGTATGTAATTTTTTTGGGGACACATAAAGCTTCCTTTCGGTGATTTTAATCACCACTGGATTTTTTATTTTTTACTGTATAAGGAAAATACAGAAAATTTTGTTATAAAACACTTATTATTACCCAAGTTTTTGGTCAAGTATAAAAGAAGGGGTCACGTTGGGTAACTATTAGAGAGGAACTGCTGCACTCCTTACCGGAACCCCTATGTACAAAGGAGGGTGCTGCAGTAACCACGGATGGCGCTGTGTATCTCCAGATATAAAGAACCTGTTACCAGCACACCTATGATTATGTCACAATCCATCTTCTTTATTGAGGCAGACTGTCAAATAACAAAGTTTTGGGGTCACGCCCTTCATCAGGGTTTAATTAAAACCTGATGAAGAGGACCCTGTGTGTCCACAAAACATTTTTATTTGACAGTCTGCCTCAATAAAGAAGATGGATTGTTGACACTAGTCATAGGTGTGCTAGTAACGTGTGCTAGTAATGTTTTCTATATAACAACGGGTGAATAGACACCAAACATGTCAAGCTTTAAAATTGCGCGCCTGCAAAATTCCAAAAAACTACCATACATAAAATTGGCCATAGGGGACACTTTAAAAGCTTTTACCGCTCATCAGTGTAGTGTTAACAGTGAGTGAGGGCCCTAGAATTATTGCTCGCACTCTGATTTCCATGGTGATATGTACCATGTGTGGTGTAATCATTGTTTTCACACATAGGTGCACCCGACACATATTTATGTTTATATGTGCGCGCACATGGGGGCAGGGGACTGAATTTTTTTGTGTGTTTTTACTTTTTTCTAATATGCGACTTTAATATTTTTTAAAACTTTTTTGTACACTTAACTTTATTGCTAACCCATAAGGAGCAATCAAGCCCCCTATGTGATAGCAAATATCCAATGCAATGACAGGTACCTTTTATGAAGACATCAGGGGTCTCTAAGACCCCTAATGTCACCTATGGACCCCCAAAGAAGCTGATGAAGCAGAGATCTGCTGCAGCAACTTCTTCTCTGACTATAGCAGCCAGAGAAATGACAGCTGAAGGCAGAAGTGATGTAATACACATCACTTCCACCATCAGAGATCATAGGAGATATCAGCATGTGGGAGAATGCTGATCTCTCCTCCATTTTGCATGTAAGCAGTCACTGTAGAGCTGCCTGAACACATGTATGGAACAGCCGCTACCAGCTGTTTAAAACTTTTGCGGGATGCTGCTTGCGTGCGCTCCCCAGCAGAAAAATAAAAGACGTACATGTACGTCTACCCGCTGGAAGGCACTTGCCGTCCGTCCATTACTGTATTTACAACGGGCGGACGGCAAGGAGTTAAACTTGTGTCAGCAATTCAATTTGACTTTTTGTTCATATTTTGGTGAAGGATAAGTGTTTGACATGTTCTCTTTACCATTATACAGATTTATTTATTTTTAACCAGGTAGTATCATTATTTTCCTTTTCTTTTGCAAGACAGTATATTTAGAATATAAATAACCATATAAATAAATGAGTAAAATTACAAAGTTGCTTTACAAATAACAACATGACATTACAAATCAATTACAATTTTAAATTTGTGCTGCCATCTACTGATAGAATATGAAAGGCAGCTGTTAGTTTTTGTGAAACGGAAGATATATTTCCAGTCAGTGTGTCTCTTGCACAGTAATACACGGCAGTGTCTTCAGTTTTCATGTTGTCCATTTTCAGATTTAGCATGTTATTATTGTTATCTCTGGAGACTGTGAATCTTCCTTTAATAGAATCAATATAGTTTTTGGTGCTACTATCAGGGTGAATCTCACACAACCATTGCAGTTGTCCATTAGGAAGCTGCCTGACCCAAGCCATCCAAAAGCCAGCAAAGTTGAATCCAGAAGCTTTACAGGTCAGTGTGTGGGAATTTCCCGGTTTTATCGCCACTGGATCAGACTGGGTAAGTTGTGCTGAAGACTGGACATCTGAAAAATATGACACAAAGTGATAACTACCATTTGAAAATTCTTTAGAAAATAACAGCAGAAAATGTTGTCACTATAGGACTCACCTGAAAAATATGTTAGTAATATAAGAAAGCTAAATAAAGTCTTCATTGTCTCTGTGTTTATCTACTGTATACAGTCAGGAGATTATCTGTAAAACATTTTCTCTGCTTATATATTGTATGAGAGTTTTCCAAATACAACATAAGATCTCATAATTTGAATATCATTACAACCATGTATATCTGTGGCTCTGTGTGGAAACATGCAAATAGGTCTGAGGACAAAACCATATGTGCAAAGCAAACTAAGGGGTTATGTTACTGCCAAAGGGGTTGATTTACTAAGGTCAGCTTGGTGGGGATGTGCTGAGCTCCTGGTGGATCTCCTGCTCTCTTCTTGCATAACCAAAAAATGGGAGCCACAATACTAATTGATGCTGTGTGATAGTGTGTACAATGCTATGGTGTAAACGGGCCCTAAAAGAGACAGTGCAGTTTTGTATTGGTGTATTTTATTTTTCAATGTTTTTTTAACACAATAACAAAATACAAAAAATATTTTCTGTGTAAACAAAGGTGCATTCATGTACTATTGTGCATGGTTCTAACCATAGCCTAACCAATGGGACTTCTTATGAATTTACATAAGTGTAAACAAAGCCAATTCATTTGGGTTCTGAATGAGAAGGTTAAGTGAAAACAATGGTGACACCTATACCCTATCCTGCAGAAAAAATTAATCAATCTCAGTTTTGTATAGCACCTGTCTTCACCATACTGTATATTATGGCTAAATGTAAACCAATAATTGCTACAAATTCACTCAGAATATAGGTATCTATCTTCAACTGGTCTTCCTTTCCTGTAGAAGGTTATTAAAAACAAAATGTGAAACAGTTGTATAACCTAATGGGACTTCTACACTGCAGGGCTGTATGTTAGGTAATACATTTCTACATTATAGTTACCTCTGCAATATTATTTATCACTCATTAATAGAGATGAGGCTGGGCTTTGTGCAAACCCAGTTCGCCTCAGTTTGCCCAAGCCTGCTCAAAGATCTGACCGCCACTCCCTTCTCCTGATCCAATTAGTGGTGGCAGTGGCAAAAAGAGCATTCAAGGGTAGGTGCCCACCTACCCCAGGTTAGCAACCACTATTCCAATGTATGCAGAGTGAAGTGGATAAATGCACAAGGACATTATGTATCTTCTGTGGAAGTGACTTTGAAATGTATTAAAGAGTAAAAAGTTTGGGACTATGTTATGCAAATAGAACTACAGCTATAATGAATGACAATAAACTAAAAAGCTAAACTAAAAAACTAAAACTCTTTATTACTTACATACTGTTAAGTGTAAATTAATATTTCAATATTTGTTAAAGAAGTGGATGGTATAACCTGGAGCTGGAATGCTATCTAATATACCTTGGTGAGGTGACCAAATGAAGAATCCAACCTTCCTGATGTATCAAGCACTACATTGCAATTGCATTATATGTGCAAGTCATGCATTGACATGCTAAATATAAATCATGCCCAAAACTATATTCAGACATGAGCTTTGTTCTGTTTTAAATGCTGATATATGCAATGACATACTTCCTAGCCCAATTCTGTGTGGACAGCATGGCAGCTTGTTGACTCTGCCTTGTTGGCAGAATCCATAGGCAGCCTAACCATTCAAAAAGACACAGATGCTGAATCCTAGTTAAAGCGTAGTTTTAATGACCAGATGCGCAATGCAGTTTTTGTATAGTCTTTTGTAGTGTAAGAAGACAATTGCTTTCCTAAGCCCTTTCTCTGCAGTGGTAAAGTGACTCTAAATGTAGGGTGGGAAACGGAGTGTCTAGCTAAAGACTGTACCAACTAGCACCAAACCGGAGGGGAAACAGAGGAACTGTAACACATATAAGTAAGCTATTGAGTCTTTACCTGGTATGGATCTCAACTGTGGAAGAATATACTCTTGAAGGTGAGATTAATTTACTCAAAGTGATCCTAAGTTCAGTGGAAGTTCGTTTTAGGTTTAACAGGGGCAGAACGCAAAGCATGTAAGGGGAAACGTATTCCTCTAATGCTTCAAATAAAGGTAAGTAGGATGCCTGTATTACTCCATACAGTAGTCATTCAACATTTGACTAAGGAATAGTCCATGATCTAAAGAAGTGAGTTGTATTACTTCATAACCCTCTCAGGAGAGGGTTAACTCCAATAGCTCTTGCATGGTCAAATCTGTGTTACATCATACAGGACCATTAATTATCAAGAGTGGTGGAGCACAACGTTAAGTGGAGTGTGAAAACATATAATTGACAAGTCTTTATCAGCAACCCCCGCCATAGATGTTATCAGCATGCATGTGATAATCTTGCAACAGTGTATAGTACATTTACATGAAGTGATACTTGAAGTTAGCTGCGTTGATGGAATCAATCAGTCCAGTATCAGGGATTGAGCATTCCGCTGACAAGGGTTCAGGAGGCCGGGGGTTAAACTGAAAGATGCCACGAGTCCTGCAGGGAGGTACAGTCTCAGAGTACTAGCAGGTCCGGGATGGCGAGCTTTTAGAGTAATGCCACAGTTCCAGCATAGCTGGTTGGGATCAACCTCACTTTTTGAGCAGGTTGGATCACAAGGAGCTGGCTAAACAAAGACTTGCAGTCCAGGAGGGTGAATTTGCAGGCGTGCAGGAGTCTGGGAAGCTTTTCAAGCTGAAGAGTGGTTTGGCTATATGGGGGGAAATGCTCAGTGTCCACGACATTTCCCAGAGGCTGAGCATTTCAAATACCACAGCATTAAACTGACAGCTGGGTAGAGGGAGGAGGAGCAGCGTGACGCCGCAGGAGTAGGCGGCGTTGGACACTGATCTCGGAGCATGGACAGGTGTGTGTTACATGGACATGCCAAAATCACAAAAATAAAGGGGCTGTTGTGGCAGCACAAGTTTTCTTAGAAAAACACCATCATGCAATTCCATTTTACCTATATATGTGTGTGTGTGTGTGTGGGGGGGGGGGGGCATGGCCCA